CCCACCTACTCCCTCCAATGGCTGAATCACTAGAGAGCTGTCACTAACTTTGAGCAAATAGAAGATCATAGTTTTAGACTGAGATTTCACAGGCACTGCCTAGAATTCAAAACCTTTTGCCCAGGAATTGCAATGCATAATTTTCTTTTGGAACTCACAGTGGAAATATTTCATGTCATTCAGAAGCTTTCTGTACTGGTAAAGTACTAGCAAATTTACTGCAAAGACTCTTCCAGAAGTAATCTCGTGGTTTCCCTTAAAAGGAATTGAGGCATTCCTTTTGCCCTTATCATAAAGCAGCATGGGAACCACAGAGCATCACTAGATAAAAAGATAAATACTTCAGACTGAAATGACACACTCAAATGATTCAGATTAAAACTTTCCAAGCATAAGCAAATAAGATAAATCTCTCTCTGAAGGCATATACGATCTTTTAGAATGCTACAATGGCCAAAAAAAATCTCTTTCCAAGCAGCAAAACAGTGAAGAGAATTTGAACACCAAAGTCTTTCCACTTAGATTCCAAACCACTAATGTTTTGAATATCAACACTCTTCTTATAGCAGCCGATTTCTCCTCAGCTTCTAAAAGTGCAAACAACTGCAGCAAAAGAACTCTGTCACTTTTACAGGAAGAAATGCAAGAGATACTTGAGAGTACTAGGAATGCCATATTTTGGAGAAAGTGTTTATTAATACAAGCTTCTATTAGTGGATAAGGGTAAAACAAGAACATGAAGTACTATAACATGCTTGTGATTTTTCAGGAGACAAAATTTAATAAGAAATATTTTTAAAGAGATTGTAAACTTTTTGTTGTCTTTTTATCAATTTTCCTTTTTCTACATACAGAACAGCCAAACTCGATTCAGACTTTCCAAGACAACCATGGTTCAATTCAGATCATGAAGATACCTCTGAAGTAACTCATAAAATATTCTACTGATAGAAATCTGGCTGATCTTATCAGATGATCAAGACTAATCAACTCACATGTTTCAAAGCTTCCAAACATAAAACCAAGTGTAATATTTTCACAGCAGTACTAACAAAGCCAATGATGGAGAGAAGCACGCAGTAAATGACTCCAAATACATGACAATACGATCAAGAGTTTCAGTGGGAAGGAAGCTGAGTCCAAGACTCAGTTCCAATGTAATTGTCTGATCATTTAAAAGAGTCCTACAATTTGGGTGGGGGGGAAGAGGGAAGAGGAAAAAAAAAGTAGTCCTGATTATCAAATTTAGTACCCGAGCCTTTTCTTATCAGAAAAAAAAATTGCTTCTGAGCAGCAATTCCATCTTTGCCCTGAAATTTGGCTACTGTGGGGACTGCTGAAAGTATTTTCTCTAGTATCTGAAGAACACTTTTCTTCATATCATTTCATTTACATACTTAATACTTATTTTAAATACATTTATAGTTCTATACATTCACATGTATAACTGCATGATAAGAGGGTAAGAGTATACAATTACTACATTATATTATATCATATGTGCATTTTCTACATGGTTTTCAATCCTTCTATCAAATTCTAATAGAAATTCTAACCCTATTATAAATCTTTTTTCAAACACTGCATGTGTTTTATTGTTGACTTTTTACAGTATTGTTTCCAGCAGGGCAAAGTTGGCAAGGTCACAGGAACACACGTTCAGGATTGTGTCTGAGCTACCTCCCCATGAATACTGCTACTCATTGCCAATCAGATTAACTTTTTACTGTGATGTTACTGGCAAACACTGCTTACAAGGCTTAGGTAACTCAATTCATTTCAAACACTGCTTGAAACAGGAAAAGCAATTGGACAATAAAACGATGAAACTAACCCTACAGAGCACTCCAACTCTTCAGAGTACTATCAAAATATAATAAATGAAAGAAGAAAGAAAATTTTCTCTTCAGTGCAATATCATCTCTTGTATAACTAACAGTAATATATCCAAAGTAGGCACATTCTCTTATTTGGAATTGTTTCCACTGAACAGAATTAGAACCCTTCCCATGTAAATGAATCCACAGTGTCTGCGAGCAGAGTAAGATCTGGGAAGGAACCTTAGGATATTACATTGTATTTAATAAAGTTATCTGAAAACTTTCAGCACCACAGTTTGTTTCCTTTTAAAAAACAAACAAACATTCTGGGATTTATCTCAGTTGAAAAAAACTAGAATATTTCTGGGGGGAAACAGATGTTATATACAACAGATGCTACAAAACACCCTGAGAGGAAAAAAGGGAGCTTTTTCAGAATAGCAAAAACACTGTCTCAACTGAGCCTCAAGGTTCTGAGAATCAGGTTAAAGCTACAAGAAGATACTTAACTGGAGTTACAAGGTAGTCTTCTACCTCACTAATCAAAACAGAAGGTAAGCCTACACCAGTTAATTCCCTGAAGGCAAGTTTCCTTACTAACACATGAATAGTAGCAACCTTGGTTTTAAGTAACAAATTTTTAGGTACAGGAACTCTTTACCTATGAGACTTTTATCCTCAACCCTCCTGCAGAAATGTACAAACTACAATACAAAGCAGTATCGTTTCCTAGTGCAAAACAGGCTGCACCTAGTCAGACCAAAAAACTCATTTTGCCCTGTTTCCAGTAGTGACCAAAAGGAAACCTACAGGGAAGAATACGGACAGAGCAGGAAGATCCTTCCCTAGGATGTTCTCCAACGGTTTGCAACTCTGGAATTTCATAGGTCAGAGGTTGGGCAAATTCACAGAATAAGATTACAAGATGATGAGATTTTCACCTCAAAACTACAGACTTCCAGCTGCAAGGAACTCTGCAGCCTCATGTTGCATGAAGAACTCTCACTTTTTATATTAAGCCTGCCAGGTCTCATTGATACCCTTTAGAAAAGGTTCACAGAAAACAACTATTTACTGTTACTTAGTCTCTATTCTACCTAAATTCAGCCATTTGTTTTCCAGCTCAGTCTGCTTGTTCTTTAGATAGACCCTTCTGACACCTTTCATCTTGGTCCAAACTTTTAAAGCTTTCATTCTGCAATATGCTTTTGAGATAAGCAGATCAGATCTGCAGACAGTACTCAAGTTGCAAGGTATCCACACAATGACATTACACTCCCTGCTCTTATTAGTTTCCAAATATTTGCTAAAATTTCATTTCCTTTACAACTGACTGATTATAACCAAGATCATTTCCAAGCTCAAAAATTCAAAACTCACACTCCATCGCTGCATATTCAGAGTTGGGGTTTCTCCCTGTCTCACCCCATGCACATTACCTACCCAAAATCTAGTTGCTTGTTTTATTACTCAGTCACTCAAATCTCACAAGACGTGCAATTCTTTGCAGACAGCACTTGCCTTTGCTACAGGCATCAGCATACTGTGTCACCTCCTTATTCAGATGTTCTGGAATACATGTAAATAGTCAAAGACATTTCGATTCTGATAAGAGTGCAGACACTCTTACGTAGGCCAGATCAAAGTCAAATAACCAGAAGATACAGTAGACTGATCTGCCTGTTATTTTATGACCAAAACTCAAGTAATCAGGAATCACTTCTTTACAAAGCTAATAATCTGCACATTCTAAACCCTATCCTCAGAAATAAAACAAAAATTCACACACCAGCTAGGTGTGTGAATTAAAACAGTCTGCGCCCTACCCATATTGCATTTAGTCCATCAAGTTTCTTGCCATGACTGAAGACCTCAGAAGTATTGCATGAACTGATACAAATTCTTTGGAGTTAACAGAAAGGCATATGCCTTTTTTTCCCAGAATGAAAAACATTTTAGACTTCCTAGAAAGTACAGCTAAATCCTAAAATTAAAGGGATGACTATTAGTAAAGGCATATTTAAAATTGCTTCCAGAAATTTCAGAGGACCCTGAAGACACTATCCATACTCCTTCTAGAGAGCTATAGACCCTGCACCAATTAGGTACTGAAGGGACAGATAAAATTACCAAATAAACAAAACATAGTCCAAGGATAAAGGGTGTTACACAGTTCTGGACTGCGGAGAAGAAAAAGAATATATTGATCCAAAAAGCCATTTTTTTCCACATGGTGCCCAGTAGCAGCCAAGAAAATATATCTGAACATAGAAAAGGAAAAAAACCTAGGGGACATGAAATTTAACGTAGAAGGACAGAAAGACAGAAAAATCCTCAAATACCATGATTACCAATGAATAGTATTATCCTTCCTTCCTGACAAAGGCATTTTAAGTTATTTTTCTTTCTCCCAGTCTGTTCCAGTGCAAACACAATATGAGAAGTTAGTAAGATCATTCATTGCCAGTCCTGCTCAACTACATCAAGGCTGTGTTGGGCCGAGACCAAGGCAGGATGCAACAACATGTAAAATCCAAGTCTCAGCTGAAGTCAGATCAATGCTTATCTACTGCTTTAAAACTGGGCCCACCACCACACTGAGGAGAAGGAAGAAAAGAAAACATCGATGACGTTTTTCCCTTTCACAAGTTTAAGCTAAATATAGATCAGACAGAATTAATCTATAGGCACGTACACATGTGTATTTATTTATATATAAATATATGTATACGTAGGCTGGAGTTTTTATTTTCAACTTGGTCTTTATCATACTGTTTAACGAGTAATTTGCAGAAGGTCAGGCTTAGATAAAATTTAATTTGCTGCCGATATATAAAAATTGGGGTATGTACTGTCAATCAAAGCAACAGATCAGCTGTCAACTACTGCCACCTCAACAAGGTAAGGGCACATTTCACAATTTAAATATCGAGTTAGAGTCCTGCATTTCTTCCATACTAGAATTCCTTCTGTTGCTTCCCCCATTGCAACTGCAGGGTAACTGAAGCACAGGCTAACTGTTCCTACTCAGCAAAAACCACCTGCAGTCCAAACGAGTTCTTTGTATGTTCTTAACACCAGTGAACACTTAACTTTAAAAACTAGACAAAACTTACAGCAAAGTCTCGACCAGAAGCTAAGAGCTACAACTGATTGAAACTCAACAGGAAAGACACATACCACTCCATCTGCAATCTTCCAGTCTGCACAGCTTTCATATTTTTGCAGTTGCTTTTCAAACAGTTGTGCTATGGCTCGATGGACAAGTTCATACTGCTCCTGTAGTAGGTTACCAGACAAAAATTAGCACAAATAATTATGGTATATTATCATACAATAAAGACTGATTTTAAAACAAACCATACCTTTGTCTGCACTGCAGAATGCCTTTGTGTCCTCATTTCCTGTATTAAATTAAATACATTGAATTCTTCAGGTATTTTCTGAAATATAGAAGGAAGTAAATTACATTGACATAACTGTTTGTCAGAACAGCAATACAAAAGCTGTTAGACATCCACAAGTATGTTTAACTTTTGTAGGTAAAGCCACTCTGTTCTCTCCACATTGCAGTTATTCAAAATTTCTTTAAAAAGCAATTCCTCTCCAGAACTGGTTTTAAACATTTCATATAGATCAGATGACAGCATTTCAAGTATGCCGAAAATGAGACATCCAATGAAAGCACTGATACGGCACTGCAAAACTAATGATGCTTCATAACCTAAAAACCCCAGAATGAAGTTATCCCTGCATATTTGAAATATCAGGCTTTAGAAGCTGCAAGATTAAGCAAAGACATTGAAAAAGTTGAATTCAAAATAACTTTATATTGAAATTAAAAAAAAATAATTTTACAGTGACTTTTTAAAAATAAAAACTTGGTGTCAAAGGAAAGTAAGTCCATACTAAAGCATGAATGCAATGAAACTAAACATTCAACCTGACAAAAGAGTTCCGGAATGCCTTAAACATTTCACAATTTTAGAACATTTGGGAGCTCAATCAATCACTGTTATGAAATGACGGAATGCCACATAATTTCTTCTTTCAAGATTCCTTACCCCAGCTTTAAGCAAATTCCATGTATAATCTATGGCACAGATGGCTCCTGTTCTTCCACACCCTGCACTATGAACATAAACAGTTAGGGACGTTAGAAATTATTTTAATTTGTTAAAAAGACACTATAAACTTGGTATTTCCAGAGTCCACATGAAAAAAATAAATTAAAATCCCTCAACTATCATCTTAAGCTTGTTCAACCTGATACTGTAGTTCTTAAAAGAAGTTAGCAATGCAAAACTGAGCATTGAAGGTTCTAACAAAGGTTTTTCGCAGTCAATTGGAACTGCAATCATGAAAGATGCCTCAACATTGACATTTTTATTGCCTCTTTCATCACACTATTCCTAGTTACCGCAGCTTGGACAGTAGGGATTTTGTCCAAGTTTAATGATAGATATCTTAAACGTCAGAACAGAAAATATTGAAAGACTTCCCACATTTTTCTGATTTAGTATCAAATCTCTATTTTCTGCTTTTTATCTAACAATACTTAAATCTGAAAGTTATAAAAAATGACAGCAAACAATCACATTTATTCTTCCTACAAGTATGAATTTCTCTATATTACAGATAAAGAGTAATAATACATGCATACTTATTACATTATAATTATACTGTTGTGAAGAACCAACCTTCATAACTGTACTGATATTCAAGAGAAACAGGACAAAGTGAAGTGGATTTCCATGCTAACTAAATGTCTCACGGTTTTAGACCTCAGCTATTTAAGAGTGACAAGTTAAAAAAGGATATAGATAAAGACAGTAGATTTCTGTAGACACTTTCAGATAATAACCAAGCTCTAAGCAGCTAATAAGTCCCCCAAAAATTAGTATTTCCTGGCTTATGTATCTGAATGCAGTTTTTCTGACATTTAATAGATGAACTTTTGTTGCTTTAAAAAGTATCAAATATCACATGCAAGAACATTCCTGATAAATTTTGTCAGAAACTGTCAGTTCACCGAAACATCTTCATGACAATTTAGTTTCAACAGTCCTTTTGTTAGACAAATTTCAGGTCAAAGATGAATTTGCTGCTCAGATGCAGAGGCTCACCAACCAGAAACTACAGACTAATTAGAGTTTTTTTTAATCATATTACAAGAGAGACACAGAAGTTCTTGAGTAGTGATGCCACCTGCTATGTAGTCTCTCCTACTGAGAATGGATCCTTCACACCCATATATGATTTGCAATGATCTTCAAAGTCTATTTTGTCCTAATGAGGATTTAAATGTCTTAAGAAATATAAAATTACTTCCCTCTCAAAGACTAATTATTTTGTGATTGATATTTTGTCTTAAACTGAAATAGAAGCAAAATTTCACTGCGGCATGAAGACTGTATGATTCTGAGCCAAGTTTTGACATGAGGAAATATTCCTTTTTTGAAAACTAAAATGAGTAAGTTCTGATTTAGAATCAAACTAGTGCATCTCATACCAAAAGTCTAGACTTCAAAAAAATTAAAATGTATATAAACTTAAAAAATAAATATATTTGATACCTGCAGTGTATGCAAATCGGTACATCTTCATGTTCCTGGTATTCTCTCATCAAGCTGATCATGTCCAGAATAGAATCAAAAGACGAAGGGACATCATGGTCAGGCCAGTTAACGTAATGAAATTGATAGACACTACGCGTCTCCTAAGGGGGAGAGAGGGAGAAAGGTGTTATACATATTTGAGGGGTTTGTACGAAGTAAATATTTCAGTGAACCTTCACTTTTTGCATAAGTAAGTGTGGACAAGCAAAACCCTTTACTGTATTAAAAACCTACAGCTTATACCACATTGAAAAACAAAAGGGAAATTCTGAAGTAGTATTTTGAGTGCTGCTATTGCACAGGAAAAAGCACAATGGGACAATTCACAGGAGCCCCTGCCTGTAATACATGGGTTAAAGAACCCACAACGTTGCCCTGTGCTAAAATATTCTCTGCCCTTACAGTCTTAACTTTAAAACGGAGAAAGAAAGGGAAAGACCACCATGAAAGGCTCTTTTTCCAATTGTACTCCAATAACTTACATTGGAAAGAGATGGGAGGGATTGTTGTTGTTTTGTCACACTACAAAATCAAGCCTCTGCGTGCATATGTGCATGCACAGGGAAATTAAGGAAATGAGAGAAAACATTCAGGCCGTATCTAAATATAGATCACACTTGCAACAGTAGGTACACTTCTATTTAGCTCGTGTTACAATAGTACTAAAGCCAAGGTAAGAAGTAGGCTTTAGAACAGCATAGTTACTCAGCTACCCAGATCCCTGAAAGACTAAATCCTCTTTCTCATCATTATCCAAACCATCCACAGTATAGCTAGTTCTACTGCACCTTTCCATGCTGTTGTCACACCTCTGGATTCTAGTATACCCTCGAAGTAACGCACTAGAGAGCCATATGAATTTTTTGATCAATGTTACAGCTTACAAGTTTCATCAAGACCTATGCTGCCTAATGTTTACTTATTTGAGAAGCAACCTAGTGGGCCTCTTGATCATGGGAATTTATATCGTCTTCCATCTGAACAACTATTTTTGATGCTTTATTTTTGCCAGACCTGTGGAAGCACTGTAGCCACTGAAAGCAAGAGAAAATCCAGCCTAAGAAAAGAAATTTTAAAAACCCAACTGATTATGTAAAACCAGTGTCATCAGTAAGGAGGAAGAAACATTACAGCTGCCTTAAGGTCCACCAAGAACTTTCACTTAATCACATTTAAAGAGACAAAACCAGTGATTTTCACATTAGCAGAGCTATCAGAAAAAATATCTGAATTTATGTTTCTCATATGGAAATTAATAATGAAAAGTAAACTTCATAGTCCTTTTTTTTACTGACACTTTTTAAGAAAGAACCTGGTGTTTTAGCTTAAAATGATCTTCAACTTTTAGTCAAACTGGTTTTCCTCCTAGAAACTAGAATAACTTTGTATATTTACATGAATTTTAAATTCTTTTGTACAGTATTTTGTATGACACTCCATTAAAAACTTTACAGAAGTGACAAAACTTTTCATTATACTGGAAAACCAGAAAGTGAACTTAAAATAATATTACTTTATACCACAAACATATATTTTCCTCCCCGGTTCAAGGCTACACTTAGGATTCTTCAAAGTAAGATGAAAAGTCTGTAATTCATTACCAAAATGTGTGCTCACAGAAATCCTGAAGCAAATTTGCTAAGTAAGCCTGAAGAAAGACCATTTTATCCGCTGCATAGGTTGAATATCAACATCCTTTCAACTACATTACTCCTTAAAGGAACGTAAACTTTGGGCCCTTAGCTAAGATCAAAAACGTAGTGCAAACTGTAGCTTCTTGTTACTACTTAGTTTTTATGTAGTACATAGGCATCCTATAAAAATTACCTGGAACAGAACTCATGGAAGTCAAGTAACTGAACATGATTTGCCTGTATAGTATATGCAAGCAACATATAAAGTAGCTACAGTTTCTGAAGTTCTCACGACATTCAGGTATTAAAAGTTATGTAAATTCTGCTTTGGGGTTTTCGATATTTTTCACTGCTGTTTTTAAGTGCACTATTTCAATAGATGTTACAAAACCCACAGTTGTTACACAGTTAATTTCTGCTATCTAAAAAGTTTCATAGCATTATGAGCATTCAGGACACACTAACAAAAACAAACAATGATGAAGTTCATGCATCCCACTGCAAGCACCTAGGAAGCTACTGCAGACCAAAATTACTGCCCAAAATTACCCACTCATGATTAAACAGTTTTCATAACTGTTGTGATATCAGCTGTCGAAATGGAACAAAGCATTGCTAAAGAAAACATCACCATAAGTGAGACTAACCTGTAATAAATAATTTCTAAGTACAGTATGCCAATTAAAATGACAGATACTCCATAAAACAGACTGTCAAGCTTCATGTTTTTGTGGGACAGCTCTACACTTATTTTTATTTACTGACAGTTGCTTTTCAGAAAGATAAATGTCAGATTTGAGGTGACTGTTTAAATATAAGTTTGCAGGAAAGGCTTAAATTGTTAATTTCTAACACTTACTTGAGAATGCAAGTGATTTATTTCACTGAAAACATGACAATTTTCACAATTAACATAATATACCCAGTTTATGAAGTGCATCTCATGTTTTACAGCATTGTTAATTCCTAACACTTACTTGAGAATGCAAGTGCTTTTATTTCACTGAAAACATGACAATTTTCACAATTAACATAATATACCCAGTTTATGAAGTGCATCTCATGTTTTACAGCAGTTTATGTCATAAGCCTTCATTAAGATAAAAAAAACTCAATTTCTTCCATAAAGAGACTAACAGTAACCATTTACAGTTGCCAACTTAACAAATAGTGTAAATGAACTGGTTAACCAGAACACATGTCTGGTAAGACAGTTCTGCATCTTGAACACTAGGATATCAAATCTTCAAGAATTCCGAAGTCTTGACCTCATTTTTAAAAATACATTTCTATCTTGACCCTTGAATAGATTACATACAATTCCCCCATGTATAAGTTCTCCAAGCAAAAAGACAATGCCACTCAATTTCATCAAGAACATGCCATATTTTTCATATCTAAATTCCAAAAGAAAGTAACTTTTAACAAGCTAGAGTAAGAAACTTGGGGGAAAAAAAATAAATCACTAAGTTGTTGTCATTCTTGCTTTCTTTTTATTTGGCAGTACAAGTATATGAATGGGCATCAGAAATCTTTCATCACTGTAAAACCCTCCTGACAATAAATGAAACTATAGGGTAAACTCTAACAAGTACACATACTTTGCCCAAAAATAAGCTAACTAGAAGAATTTTTTTGACAAGTTTGGTTCAGTTTGTCACTATATTTTCAGTAGGGGTAAACAGAAATTCTCCTAGGGTGACAGAAGCTTTCCAGGCGTTAACACATGCCATTGAAAACCACCACATACCTCTGGCTAACCAAGAACATATATAAAAGACAAGAACTTCACAATTCTTTTCTTATATACCAAGCTTTTAGCATCACTTCTAACCTTGATGATTTACATACATAGAGTCAGCATCTAAAAACATGAAGATATTTTCATTAATTTCCTCCATTGTACTATTTTAGAGACCTCTGAGCAACCATTGAAGTTGAGACCAGAAGTGATCGTATACTTACATTTTGAAATTCAAGTAATAATGTTCTAATGAAGTAATCTGTTCTTGCTTGTTCAGCTTCCTAAAAATGAGAAAACAGTAATGAATTGGAAAAAAAAGATCAATATGCAGCATACAGGATATAACTAAAAGCCCAAACTTTTTTATTTTACTGTTTTGTATCTATGATTTCCCCAAAAGATGGGCAATCCAAACAGCAGCAACTTAGCTTGCTACACAAGATATGTGTGAAAGATGCTGCTCTTAAAAATAAAGACGTGAGTTTTCAAACCAGTAAGTGTCTTGCCTGCTCCTGAAACGATCAATAAACCTTCTAAGAGTATTTCAAAGTACTTATTTTGCTTTATTTCTCCATCCATTTATTTAATTTACAGATTGCCTTGCACAGTCATCCTTCTGTAACACTTTAATATAACATTATAAACTTCAGCCTCTTATCACTCTATCCTGATGTCTCCTTTCATTTTTTCCCCTTCAATTATTTTCAACTCTGGGTGCATCTGAACTGATCACTGTAATTATCTTGGTTGTGGCAAAAAGGCATAGCTTCTAGGCTGCCAGAATTTTCAAATCTGCCTTTGGAACACCAAAGAAAGTTTATACTGTAGGCACCAAGCAATACTACTATACTTAAAACATCAGAAATAATCACAATTTGACGATGCTTTTAAAAACTTAGCATTGCAGCTTCCCAGAGTGAATTCAGGAGACTGCATGCATGCTTTAAAGTGGTCCTCTCTTCTAAGGGGAATTTGCCATTCTCCATCAAGACAACAATTGCAACACCTTGCAAGTGTAAAGGACAGAGTACATAGCTAGCAGCAGTGGAGCCCGTATACACCACTGTACCCAAAGGTAACACATTCTCAGCCGCAGCTAACGAGTCAGTTACAATGTATGCACAATCCCTTTTCCCAACTACTTGCCAGGTATGTGACCATCACCCATTAGGTAGAGGGCAAAAAAAAAGAAAAACCCACAAAAACCCCAAGCCCACCAGCCAATTTTTAAATCAATTTATGGTAGGAAAAGGCTACTCAGAATCTTTATAGACTAAAACTTTTAAGCATATGCTTTCCTGAGAAGATGACCTTGAAGTGTACTTAATATTTGGTAGACTACTTCAAAGAAGGATTAAGAACAGCTCGATAAACTGGCACGCTAGCTCTTTCTGAACACTTAAAGCACTTTAAGAACAGCTCGATAAACTGGCATGCTAGCTCTTTCTGAACACTTAAAGCACTTCAGCCACAAAAAAGCAGCAATTCCTGGCCAAACCCACATAGCTTTGAGTTAAAGAGAACCAAAACCAGTTTCGAGATCATTTTGGAATGGATCAATTCCCCTGTTTGGAGAAGAAAAAACAGTTTCGAGATCATTTTGGAATGGATCAATTCCCCTGTTTTAGAATAAGTGAACAGCTAAGGCCAATCATGGACTCCAGTGTAAAAAGTTCACAGTAAGATCATCTATACTGATGACAGTTATACTCAGCATTTTAATGCCAAGTTTCATTCATTTCATAATAGTAACTAACAGAACATAACAGAACCTGATTAAACTACCAGGTGGCAAGAGGTTTCATTCATTTCATAATAGTATCTAACAGAACATAATAGAACCTGATTAAACTACCAGGTGGCAAGATTTAAAATAAAGACATGAGGAAGTGTCTTCTAACACCACAATGATGTGAATGTCAGAAAGACTATGTGACAAAAAACAAAACCCAAAACAAATCAATTTGTCAAATTCATCATTCACTGCATTATCAACATATTGATAAACTGGGGAAACACTCAACTAATGAAGCCCGGCTAGTCCATCGCTAGAAGCTAGCAACAAGTACAAGGAGAAGGATCATCCTATACGCGGCTTATTTTCTATTCTCTTCCCCTAAATAATTAGGCTGTCACTGGACACAATGTGATAGGCTGGATGGCCCTTGGCATCATCTAGTAGTGAAGGTTTGATGATGCAATCACAACTCCAAGAGCCAGAAGTTGGATAAACAGGCCACAAATGTGTTTCAAGCAGGAAGGAATAATGATGATACATAAACAGGTGTGTACAAAGGCAACCGGATACTATCCCACACCTAAAGCAATGCTGATGGCATTGATTTTGGTGGCGATGCTCCCACACACCGTATATCCTCCCCTACGCCCCTAAAAACCCACGTTTAATGAAGTGCATTTCTGCTACGTAAGTGGTCCCCTTATGAGAAATGCTAACTGCACCATTCTTTTGCTATCTAGCTTTCTCTACTGGGGAAAGATGATTGTGAAAACCTATTGGGGGGTACTGTCAGGTGATACAGAGATAACAGAAAGTGCCCAAAGAATGATTACTTTCAGTTCCCTGCTGTGCTTGGTGTAGGAGATATCCACACTCCCTTTTCTTGCCTATTGAATCTGTCAGAAGTCGTTACATTTCCATTTATGAGCTAGTATCAAAGCTGGAAGAGGCTCTAGTAGTTGCTCAGAGCCTCCTGATGCTCAGAGAACTCCTGATAACACAGACACAACATGCAATGGAAACACTCAGGTTTCCTCCATCTTTCTGGAATCATAGCTTACTTTACAGTTACCCCCTGGTAATTCTCCAGGAAAAGATTCAGACCTGATAATGATCTGCTACTCATTTTTGTTTTGATTTTAAAAGCAACAATAGAAGCAAAGGAAGTATTTTCAAATAAATCTGCATCTGTTACCAACAGAAACAAGTTTAAAAAAATAGTTTCCATTTTAATTCATTTTAATTAACTTTATGTAATTTAAATAAAGTAACCTATTCCAGTGTTACTTTCATTTCTCATGCACATCCAGAACGCCAAAGTCATAACGGAGAGAAACAACTGCATGAATATTATTTGATTTTTGGTACAGACATTAAAAACTACATGCAAAACTAAAAAAAAAGTGATACATAAAAAGGTACAAGACCAAGGTACATAAGTTTCCTACTTAAAAAAAATTCATTGAGGATTCAAAAAACCACACAGCTTAGATAACACATTGTTTTCCATTGCATTCCTTTGAGAGTCTTTGTGTAAAATTTCATACCAAACAATTTAAAAAGTATTTGTTTTGTAATACAAACTGATTGTTGAACAGTTATTTTATGTTACAAAATCATTAAATCCTTTTGAATTAATTTATAAAGCTTTACACTTACACAAGAAACACGAAATGGTCCAAAAGTTACAGCTGCTTCTCCATACAGAGGCCAGTAACGTTCACATTTTTTCTGTTAAAGCAAAGAATCCTAATTTAATTGATGTGTAGCACTAAAAGATTATGATTAACAGAAGCAGAGAAGACAAAATGATAATCTCAAATATCTCTCTCTCTTATTTGGTGCTTTTCTTTAACATCTGCCTATTGGTGCCTTACTGGACTTCTTTTAAGATATTAAAATGTCTTTTCTTTTGGATTTCAAAAGAAAAACAAAATGAAAAACCCAGATGACCAGTAAATACAGCCAAAAGACACTTTGTAAATTGGGACATGAACTTCATGACTGCCTACATATGTGCAAGCACACATCGTACAGAGGTAAGCAATGAGAGCTAATTTAGTTTTTGTTAAAGTTTGGAGTTCATAATTCTGGACCAAATTTTTTTTCCCTTCTCAGGTCATAAGAATATAGCAGAGAGATTTTAAAGATAGAATGTTTTTACAGCTGTATCAATTGACAGGAAATTCAACTCAGGATTTTGATAGCTGGGCTACATCCCTCAAAGAGCAGGATTTTTTTCCACAGCAACATGATCAGAAACAGACCATTGGTACAGTTCTGTATACAGACATGTATTTCCACTGAGATGACTCCTAAATAATAACTTAACACTATAAATAGAGCAAAGAAAAGTAGTCGCATTCACAGTTTTCTATGCATATAAATGTAAGGATAGGCATTCTCAATCAACCTGGCAGATTATTTTTACAGTTATGGATTTGGCACACAAAGCTTCACAGGTATTGGCATATTGTCCTGCATAGGAAATGCTTATTTAGTTTTGTATTTAGTATACATACCCTTCCCATTTCAAATTCTCGACAGGCCATTACAATTATCTGAAAATAAAAAAAGATGCTCAAAGTTAGCTGGTTTTAGATCAAGTAAATTCACCAACACTTTGCTACTTGCTTCTATCTGGGCAGATACTGATACTCCTTAATACTATTTCCCTACTTGCAGATGCATGCTCTTTTAATTCTAAAACAGTACCCAAGTTTTATCCTGCACAAAATACAATACTAATACAACATTTTAAGGGTACTTAAAATTAATTCACTGTAATCCTGTAATACCTTATTTATTTATTCAGCCTGACTGTAAAGTCTAAACTTAATCATAAAAATGTAGAACCATTTCCCGACTGGATGAAACACAGCTAAATTAGCTTCAAACGACATAGACTGCTTAAAATAGGTGCAAAAACCTATTTAAAAACAAGAAGGAGATTTCTTATGTGAAGCTATTTCAGAAACATTAATATGAACAGCACAATAAAAATGCACCAACAGGTAAGCTATTTGTTACAATATCACAGAATCATTGACTACCAGGTTGGAGGGAACTCAAGGATCACCTGGTCCAACCTTTCTAATTATAAGTAACCGTGACTTAAGTGTCTCATAAAACAAAAGAATATTTTCAGAAATCATTTTTTGAACATATCTAATTTTAACAGTAATTAAAAGTTAACTCCTGATGATGGTTCTTTAAACACATGTAGAATGTATAAACCAATAAGTAACCCAAAATCAGCACAAATAGAAAGGCAGGCTTTTCTTTCTTTCACATGCTGCTTCTGCATCTGATTTTGTCAGCTTATATTAAGTCAGAGCTGTAAGGTCTCCTACAGCACAGATGTAACCAAGCACCAACCTATTCATAAATATTCATTATTTCAAATTCATAAAACTACTTTGAATTTACACTATTAAATTGAATACGTAATAACATATAGAATGCTATTTAAACTACAAAAACAAAATGTGAGAAGCAAATGGACTAAATCATTGTCAATATTTTTAACAATAATAGCCAACTCAGGCAAAAGATACCTTATTTCATGGCACAGTGATTGTGTAACAGCCAATTTTGGTTTTAAGGAGGTACTTACAGCAACATTGTATTCCCATATCATCCTCCAGAAGTCTATTACTGTATTTGCTAATGGTCCCTGGGTAGCAACATATGCTTTCGGCCCATGTACTCCCTAGGATTGCACAAAGGAACCATTAATGTTTACAAAGAAAATGTATCTGCACTGAATAAAAAAGGCTTTAGGGTATAATATAATAAAATTAGAATTTTTTTCAATGCAACAAGAAGGGTGAATATGAAATATGAGTCCCATTTATATTAGTGGGAATTTTGCTGGTGATTTGAAGGGGGCCCAAGATTGTACCAGCTACGCTGCAGCCAGAAACTGTAACAGAAAATATTAAGTTACTGGATGTTCAGATTTTGAGGATTCCCTTTAAGTTTGCATTTTCTTTATTATTCAAAAATTTCATGAGGAAAATTTGAAAGTCTTTCTGCTAAAAAACATCCCCTTGAACAAATTTAAGTTCCCCCTCCCAGTAATAACACATTTCAAAAATCCAAAATGTTAAGATTTGTTTTATATAAAGTTTGAAGACATTTACATTCAGCTTTACAAGCTAAACATTCAATAAGTGAGATTTATAGGAACATCTGTTTCTGAATAAGCATCAGTATGTAGAATCAGCATCAGAATAAGGCTACAAGGAACACCCAACATACACTTTGAAACAAGTGTAACAGGTTTTTTGCCATATTCTATTTTCTCTTTAAGATTGTTAGATAAAACTCCATTGCCACACTTCTGCCATGAACAGAAGTGTACATTATCATACACAATTTGTCAAAAGCCTAATTTATTATCCCTAAAAACAGCCTCTCCTAAAGTTTGGTATTTTTAACAGTATCAACTGTTAAAACAATTGTAGCTGAACGTGCCCATGGTATGAAGTTCCAGTTTGGTTGCCTGTCACTTTAAAATGTTTTTTTTTTTTTTTTTAAATTATTTTTACACTTAGAGTAATCTTAAAACTTTAAAAATTGCTTTCTAAATGTCATCATGTTTGCAAATTTATTCAAGCCATACTAGAAGAAAATCTTTCCTCAAAGCTTTCAATTGTTATCTCAGGCTACAACATTAAAACTGCATGGATATGAAATAAAAGCTTAAAATGAACGTAAGAACTTTTAAGATAGTAATGCATACCTTAATAAAGTTTGCATTGATGTAGTCTGAATCTTGTGGGGGAGTTTTTAAGGTCAGTTTAACCCGGCTATGATCAACTAAAAGAAGAATTTATTTTTTAAAAAAACACAGTAATTACGACACGCGTAAATCAATATGTAATATTATATGCATATAAGAAATCAAGCATTAAAGAATGTTACCCAAAGATAAGTCACACAAGCAAGTCAGTCAATTTAATTCATGGGTAAACTAAGGCAGGGATAAGCAGAATAGCTCCTACTGCTATGTGCTGCTGATGTTCAAGTTTACAGAGTACCAACTCCATGAATTCCAAGTGTGACTGACTACAAATAGGCAAAATTCAGTTCAACAGAAGTAATCAAAATTGTAGTTACACAGTATTAAAACAGATCACAATGGTCAGAATTAAAGGCACATTTACCTTGTCCATTTACACAAAGCAGAAAGAACAAAACATCAGTGCATAATTAAAGCAGCAGGCAGGGCTTACAATCTCTGCTGAAGAGGAGTTCATCAAGTATTACAACACGAAACGTGCCCTGGGGTTTATTGTTGAGGCACAGACCGACCTCTATCCCCAAACACTGGGCTAAGCACTTTGCTGGAGCACTTCTAAACTAGAAGCGGCAGATTCTTAGGGGGTTATGACATTTCAAGTTTCTGCCTCAATCATTACTGTCTCAAAGAAAGCTTCTTATAAAAACAGCAGATCTTTGGAAACCAAAATCCTCAGCAGTCTTAAAAATAGCTTTATTACTTGTTGACAGAATAAACTAAATATCTTGGAACTCTTGTTGGTGTTGAAAAAAGAATTAAGTGCAGTTACAGAAAAAACTTGATGATTCTAAGGAAGGTAGGTGGTTGGCAGGTTTGCCAGAGTTCCAGCTCTTGCTGATACCAACACTTCCTAGCTCATACATAAAAGTCATTCAAACTACCTCTACAATAAAGGTTCTTTTCATTAATTTAGTATTACAGTAAATTGAAAATACAGATAAAAAAAAAAAATCTTTGAGCTGGGGAAAAGAAGTATCTGCAGAAACAGCATCTGCTCAAGCAATTTCTGTTACTTGGTGCTCCCAGGGTCAATTCCTCAACCACAGAACAGCCGCTAAAACTTTTATTAGAGCTAAATTCAAGAAAAAAACATAAAGAACAAGTCTGTTCAAAGAGAGGAAATATGGTTGGTTGGGGTTTTTTGTCAAAACATCACTGGTAATAAAACTGGGAACCATTCCCACAAGAAGTATATGCTAAGAGTTATTTCTGTACAGAAAGCTCTTCCAAAAAGCTTCCAAGACACTTGCTTCCAAGATGGTGAAATTTTCTGCCAGAGTCCCGATAACATTCAAAAAAAATGTTTGTGTTACTATCTCATGATTCCTAAAAAAGCACTAGCCTAGATTACAAGACATTTAGATCACAGATCTAAAGACAACACACACTCACACAAGAGCCTAGAGAAACCCTTAAAACACCTTACACTGTATTACAGTCTCATATAAATAATGCAAAGGCAAGAATGCTTTATAAGCATGCAACGGTGTCACAGACTTAACACTAAGAGCTACCTTTAAATGGCAGATCAGACCAATTAAAGTGGTAGGCTAATAAGGGCTCCTGTGCTCCCAGCACAGTAAATCCAAAACTCTAGAGCAGTTTCCAAATGTCAACATTTCCAGCCTGCCTGTATCTGCCATGGCTAAGCTCTTTCAGAGTTCTAGATGTGGAACAGAATTCCCCAAGAAAAATTCCATTGCAGGTTCCAGGTTCAGAAGATTACGTGCTTGGATATTTATATACAGCTTAAAGGCTCAGTTCATGATTACCAGTTAGTGTCTTCAGGCAACCAGTGAAAACCACGTTTCATTTAACTGTCATTTAGGATGACTCAGTAAACTGTAATGTGAACATGCACACATCTTTTACTCTGGTCAGTATTAAGGCACTGATCTCTCTGGTAGCAGTAACAATTTCTGATAAACATAGTACTAATCTCCACTTAAGTTACAAGTGTATGCTGATAGACAAAGTATTGTCCCTCTTCTTCCTCCTTGTTATAAAGAACAACAAGCACTTTCCTTTGTCTTCTATTAACATGTAAATCAAACTTACATGGCAATATATCCTTGTATCTATTCTTTTTGACATTTTCTTCTTTTTCTCCAGTGGCTGTTGGGTAGATCTTCTCTGTTCTGTATTTTGTTGATAATCTTCTTAACCTCTGAAAGAAAACATTTCTGTTATAGTTTCAAGTCTCTAAACAACAGAAACATCACTAGGTATTAGCTTCGTTGACAAGTACAAAAAGATCACTCAAAAAAACCACCTCTTCTCTCCTTTTACAATATTCACTATCATGAAGTTTAAAAATCTAATTATCCAATAGTTTTAGCTCATCTGGAGTATACAACCAAGTTGAAAACAGCTCTATACATCATGAGACATGGAACTTTGGAAAACCCACTACAGCACAAGCACAAAACACAGCTATATTTTATTTAGGAAACACACCATGCTGTTAGGGAGTAACAAATGCATTAAGAATACCTGTGAGAAACAGAAAAATCTGAACACCTGGAGGAAGAGCACAGAGCAGGCTAGCCCAGGAACTGCAGTTAACAGCTGGTACTTTGCTCTGAAAAACACAGCTTCCAACATACTGACAACTGAGCAGAAAGCAAAATCTCACTTTCAACATCTTTGATACTTGATTATAATCCTTGAAGACCCAGAATGTTAATGGCTTGCTTTCTCTGGGGAAGGAGAACTGGGGAGGTTGGTTGCTAGTTAAAAATATAACACTTGTTTATCACTGACTATGCAACAACACACAGGCAGAAGAACATCATAAATAAGACAATTTGGCTGGAAAGCCAGTTTTCTCCTTGAATTCTTCTAAAACTACTGAAACACCTGAGAGATTCACTGCACACTCGAATTCTTTAAAAAAAGAAGGAAAAATCAATTGGCAACTCAAGTCCTCCAATAGTTCTTCCAGCAGAAAAGAAAAAACACATAAAATTTAGCATTTCTGCTACGTACAGAAAAACATTTTCACAAAGTTTGTCCAGATATAGTGAAAAATCGGTAAATTTTATATGCAAACATGGACAAACTTTCCACTAATTTAGCTGAATAATATGTAACTAATAATCCATTAAAGTGGCATTTACAGAGCAAAAACAATGGTAAGGTAAAATAAAAAAAAAGGCAAATCAAGAAGCACCAGTTTTCAGATGATTTTTTTCCTCTTCTCCAAGGACGTTATCACATACTAAATCACTGATCGCTAAAAAGAGTAACAGAACTAGCACACAAGGTTTCTTTTCTTAAAGTGCATTGCTCTTGAAAAGCTTGCCATGTTAGTCGATTAAAAAAAAAAGTAAATATTTGGAGGTGGGACATTAAGTCTCTGACCACATGGTAACTGACTACATTATCTGAAAACATTGCTACAACGAAGAACAGGAAGATTCAATTCTTGAAATTCCAGGAGTTACAGGAAGCCTCCATGCAGACTAGACTCATCTTTGCAACACTAAAACCAAATTCACAGCATAAAATTCACATGGAGTAGGCAGAGAAACTTGGTTTGTAACGTGGTAAAGTCAAAGAATACCCCTGCAGATGGGGAACATATTGTTACACTGCCCTTAGTTGGGTCAACATAAAAAATACTGTCTGTGCCAAGACTGGACAAAACCAAGAGTCTAGAAATAACAAAATAGATACACATAATTTAGTTATATCAGACAAGAATTGCAAGATTGAGAAATAGTTTGAAATAGGCTATAAGCCTCCATTTTGGGGCAGGGAACAAAGAGAAACAATGATACTTTCACGCACAGCCACTAATACGATTTTGTATGGTGTTCTACATCTTAACCTTGTTGTGAGTTCTGGTTTTTTTTTTTCCCATCTTACTGATTTTTATGGGACAAAATGCTATGACTCTGCTTAGAAAAAGCAACAGAAAGAAGTTTAGAGAAAATATGACCTCTAAAAACCACGAGTAGAAGCAGAAGTTATTTTGCACGAGAAGAGATACACTTGAGGAAGTGATACAAGAAAAAGGTTACATATCAAAAAGCATCCTAGGACGATGATCCTTTTTGCTTTAGCCCATTTTAAATGCATGCAGAAAAAAAACAAACAGGTCCAATTTGGACCTATCGTAAGCCAAAAAGGTTGGAGTGACTAGTACCAACTTTAATTTTCTAGAAAGTGATGTTATGAGAATTCAGCACAGCCTTCTCCCCGCATGATTCCATAGCTGTACAATCTGCTAAACAGACTGGAAAGTAGGATTAGCATAGCCCAGCTCCGAGACAAAGACTGGAAATGAAATACAGGTTGATTTTAACATACATCTGCTTTTAATACATGTTTGTCAGCTGTTCTGTGACACGGGTAAGAGAAGATAAGAACCGCCCTGAGAGCAATCAAGAAGACTAAGTAGTACTCTTTATGATTTGTAGTAATACCTGCTACATAGAACAGTATCTACTTCATGCTTTGGAAGAGAAAGAATTATTGACTAAAGAGCAAGGAAAGAATCATAAAAACTGAGCTTTGAACAAACTACCACAGGAATGGAGAAGTGCCAGACTCAGCAGAAGATTTTGCTTCATGCACAAGAGAAAATCTCTGCAGAAAGCTATTGCAATGTGCAGCCTGCTGTAGGATGCACAAGATACCGCGCTTCCTAGGTTACAGCCTGGAGCGACCAGGAGGAGAAGAATGTACTCAATAGTAGAATGGAGGCAGCGACAGGGCAGAAGAAAGAATTTTGTTCAGACTATGGTAAGTGGATGACAAGATAGCCAGTAAGATCCGTCACAGTCCAGTTTCGTGCTAATTCATAATAAACAACCGTCTACAGTACAAAGCAGCTCTCATTTGGGTTAAGCCAGTAAACTGCCAAATCGCTTCCCAGAAGATACTCGGACGCCAACAGCAGGGACATTAGAGATCCAGCCTGGTGCCTCTGCAGATAACAGTGGACACTTCCACAACACTTGCGTATTCACTGGAACTGCTATTACTGTACCACAAAAATATTCATTTCTATATTCTTTTAAGATCAAAAAAGTCAAAAAGTGTATATTCATGATTCATCATACTTAAAGAATTACATTCACAAGGCCTTAAGTTCCATTCTCATTAGAAAAGCTCAAGTTTAATTCTGCTTATTCGCTGCACGACTGAAGTGGTTTGTGGGATGGTGACAAACACTTACCACATGTGACAGTGGGGGGATGAGCCTTTGAAACAATTTGAGTTTCAGAAACATACTTCCAGCTTCCACAGTGGTTTTACAGTCTGTACTACAAATCTACTTGAGTGTTTTCACAAAAAGACAAACCAGCTTTTCAAACCCAACTTGTGCAATCCTACCATATTACAAAGAACTTAATACAATCAGTTCAGGAAACAGACCTCCGACTTCCGCAGTCAATCTATTTCATCTATTTAACAATTTAGAAAGTCTGTAAAGGCACATTGCTTAATACCATAGAAACGCTGTTTGTGGATTAAAGAAAATATTTATACTGCCTATTGAGATTTGAAGAACTCTAAAAGCCTGAACATTATTTAAGATACAGAGTTCTTGTGACTCCTTTCTGGGCTTCTTTTCAAGTAAAGTGTGACAAATAATTCTGTGGGCTTCACTTATTTGAAGTCCTCAAATTGTCTCCTAAGTCTTATCTGACATTTCCAATGGTCAAAACATCAATCAGTGATTTTTGCTTTAATCTCCTTTTTGACCATAACTGAGGAGCAGTACATATCATAGTGTCAAATGTCAGCTGCTAGAATACTCCACGGCACCCGTGGTTCATTTGCTATGTGACAACAGGCAGCAGCAACAGGCTTCGGAAGCTCTACGTGGACAGCTATGGCAGCAGAGTTGTGAGACAACACCAAACACATTAGGAAATTTTGCAAAACAAAATGTATTCTTAAGTGTATTAAGAAATGCTCAAAGAACTGAAAACTAAGGAAAAGCTTCCATAAAAGTTACCTTAAAAAAAATCAAAGCATAAAAGAAGATACTAGGAAACACTTAAATGTTGTATGAATGTGCTCATTTCATGAAATAAGACAGCTATTTCTGTCATAAGCTTGACATTGTATAGTTCTTACTAGCGGCAGGGGAAGAAGAACACGTTAGTTATGTTAATCCTAGTAATTTAGATAAACATTACTAGGGCAGAATAGGTTTCCTAGTACTTTTATACAGTGAAAAATATGTACCTGTAAGGAGCAATGTGAACCAAACTACCACAAAAAATGTCAAAGTAACTATCTTCTGGTTATCTATGGCCAGATTACACAGGTTTCAGATTCTACACCAATACTATGAACACAGATGCCAGAGATGCCTTTGTCAAAAGACAGCTGAAGTGCAGACTGAGTATATCACTACTCAAATGGGGCTCTGACTTTCTACAACTGCTTTGATTCCAAAAGTGTTTTAGCTTAAAGTCCCTGCGAATCCAATAGTTTCTCTATACTGCCTTCTTACCCCTGAGGGCTCTGGGAAACACCAAGACAAGCTGATGGTAATAAACGTGGCTGGAGGATGCACTATTCTGAGCCAGGGTTGCCTCTGCAGCTCTGGGTTGCAATAGCAAGAAATAAATGACCATAGTGAGCCGAGTTTCCTTCACTCACTCTGCCAGAACAAGAGCTGCGTGGGGAGAGCAGGGCACAGTGCAGCTTAGGCCAAAGGTTCTGGGGAAGTCGGATCCAGTTGGGCTGAATCAAGACTGAACTGTCCCACATGGGAGGTCAGTGGTTACCTCACTGCCCTGGTAAGTAGCACAAATACTACAGAGTTTAATACGATTTCAGATATCTTACGTGCATTTAAGTCTCCCAGCTATCTCTGCAGTTCACATTCATACATTAAATGCTTTGCAGATCTTGCTGCATATAAACACAGCATGAAACATGAAAAGACGTACATGCAAGATAATGTCCAAAGAGTCTATGCTGAAAATTAAAATTAGTTATCATACTCAGTATCTTTCACCACTTTGCCTTCGGAGTATTTGAAAAACAGCATACACTCGTGACATATGTCAGTCTTTCCCCAGTTATTCCTGTCAGCTTTAAACAACAATTATTTTTAAGAATTCCCAGCCCTCATGATGGAAGGAAACACCTTCCCAAACACCAACCAAGCATAAACAATGAAATGAGAATGATC